CCCCAAAACCCCAAAACCCCAAAACCCCTTAAAGCGAGTTCATGATTATTTGGTTAGTTGGTTAAATTATAAATAAAGTTTGTTTTCAACAATTTGCTCTCCAATCATTAATATGTCTAAATGCTAACGAATTCTTATACATTTTTTAAATAAACTAAGTGACTCAACTAGAGTACTCCCTTAGTTTAAGTAAAACAGAAAACACGCTTATCCTTCAAGATTTTCATCACTGTTTGAATTGATTCTTTAAACTAACTACAACTATTGTCATATCGTCAAGTATATTTCTTTTTAGCTTTCCTGGGGGAGTTTACGCTATAAATTCTCTTGAAACGCTTCTTTCTTTTGAAACATTCTCTAATGCAGCATTCAGTAACCTATATTGTCAATTACATTTAATATATTGAAACTTACTCCATTGTAAGCTCCTTCATCTCTTTATCGTGATCTTTTGCAAGGACAGCTGCTCTTTTTCTTGATATTTCATCCCATAAACCGTCCGATGCCAAGATAATGAATTGATCTTTCTCAGTCAAATCATATACCTAAATATCAGGTTCATGAGTGACATATGGGCCTGTGAATTATGGAATCGGGATTCTATAGCCAAGATCTGGAGAGTAATTATGAAAGTTGAATTCAGACATCTTCAATCTTAGATCTCCGAATGATCTAGTGGGCATGAGACCACCCTTAACGTAACATGCTTTCTTTTCTACCTGCTTACATCTCACTATATCCTTCTCATTTTTAAACTACTCCTTAAGTCTTTCTTACTCATATGATTTGTTCGCATTAAATGTCTTGCTAAGATTTACAGCTTCATAAGAGCCATCTTCCTTTTGTCTGAGCATTACTCCCTTTGAGTCACCAGCATTGGCAACATATAGTTTGTTATTATAAACAATAGTGACTAAAGCGCAAGATCCTACGTAAGCACTTTGAGGAAACCCTTTGTCAAAAGTTTACTTAGCAACTGCAATCCAATCATTCTCAATCTTGTCAAACGCTTTCTTTATTGCATTCTTCACATCTGAATCATTTTTTGCACCTTTCAACTCTTGATCAATATAAATGTGAAGTTGCCTCATTGCATACTCAGATAATTACCAACCACCATGTCCATCAAACACAGCACTATAGTAACCCTCAATATTTTTTAATTGGTAACAATTGAATCTATCCTCACAAGGCTCATTTGCTGGGTATTGCATAATAAATACTCTGTTTGTTAGTATATTTCTCTAAATAAATGTTTAAATTTCATTATTTCTTAATAGTTAAGGAATACTTACAGTTCTTTCCTAGTTTTCTTAGCTTGGAGCACATTAATTAATTGACTAATCTCTAATTGTTAATAATCCAAGCATAGTCATTAGATAAATTGCGTATTTGCTTCTACTTTAATCGTCCTACCCTTCTTTTTCATCTAACATAAAATCACTAAGATTAAAACTACTTTGCTATTTTTAGTCCTCAGTAAACTCTTATAATTTAGCATAAAACTACTGTTGACTTTGAGATTGACTCAATTTCTACGTAGAAAGCAAATATTTTTCTGCCTATTCACAATATTATGCTTAAAATATATGATTATCTTACCTATTACGCATAAAAGCTCTATCTAATGCTTAATGGCAAATTATAATTCAACTGTGAAATCTTAATTTTATTTTAGGCTTAAGATTTCTAAAATATTCTTCTCATTCCTTCAAGTAGTCAATTCCTGTTTAAGTTCTAAAACAAAACTTATTTAATTTATTAATTTTAAGCCATTAATTTAAAATAACTTAGTCAATTTAAATCCATATTATGATAAATGGGGTTTTGGGGTTTTGGGGTTTTGGGG